CATCTTAAATTGTCTTCTATGTGTGTGACCCTTAGGCTCCTCATCATATCGGCAGTGTATAGTATTGCGATTAACACCAATTAATCGTCTCACTAATACACAGACCAAGATTGGCCCCTAGCAAGGCATCATGGCCACCCGATAGATTCGGATTCAGCAAAGTAGCTACCTGTCAACGATATGGTTACCGTGCAATTCGATCCTTTCATCATACGTTATCTCGACGAGACGAAGGCATAGAAATAGTGTCAACCTTCGGTTACTCTCGATATTATTTATTCAGTTTCTGGACCAATGACCCGTATTATAAACTGGATAGAGCAACAACTCAATCCCACTGTGGCCACAGTTTTAGTGTCATTGCCATATACTGAATTGCGCCGTGAGATAACTTTCTCCCGTACCCGGGAGTGATAAATCCTCTGTCAATCCACCATAGTCTTGATACACTCCTTGATGCAGCCAATCACCACCGTATTGACAGCTCTGAAAAGAACTGCGTTAGGCTAGTGTCAAACTACACCAATCGGTGCACAAGGCGCTCCGGTGATCTCAAGTCTAAGGATCACATGCACCACCATTCGTTAGAGGATTTGTTCCATAGACACTGGGGTTACCATCCATATGGAATCCTCTGGTGGGTCAGTCCAGTGAACTTGCTGTGGTGTAATCGCCTACAACAAACACCCATGTGTTGCACCAGGTTGTCACCAAACAACCTTGACAAGTGAGATCAGTCACTGCCTTTCGACAGGGTCGTTCAACACTATGATAGCCTTACCGTATTATCTGTGCCCTTAGTTCAGAATAATACTGGGGCTACGGACGTTTCTAGAATGGCCACCATATGTGCTCATAGGGTTCTCACTATCAAGATTTGAAACACTTGATACCCTCGTCACGGCTCTACCATTCTAAGGACATATATCAATACATATTGCAATAATAATGATTTACGCGATATAGAATAAAATGCCTTTTATTGATTAATGAACATTATTACAAAGAGTCAATTCTACAATAATTGATTGGCTCTAGGGCATCTACTCTAACACTTTCAGCTTCAGGGAAGGTTTATATTGTTCGACAGTGCAAATTTAATGAAACAACATTTCCTTTTAAAGATGGATTTAATTGTTTTCTTTTCAAAGATTCTGATATTGCAGGCTCAAGTTCAAGTTTAGAGTCTAATGTAACAGGAGATGTTTCATCATGGACCTTTAATCACTGCATCAGCTCAAGCTCTAGTCCAGATTCTGCTCCTGATGATTCAGCAGAAAACTATAGAGAAACCATCAATATCTCTACTAACACCATGCCTTCTTCATCAGCAACTCATCTCACTTCTCATGACATTCCCACTGGAAGCAAACTTGTAGAAACAACAACTACTGATATGGCACATTCTACTCACTTAAGTGTGCCTCCTGACCTTTGTTCTTCTGAATTACAACTTGAAGTGGTGCTGCCCTTTCCAAAGAAAACCACAACTGCTAATCATCACCCTATGATGACTAGGTCTAAAACTTCACAAGCTTCAACAAGTCACACTGTAGGTTAGGCTTATTTAACCACTCAGACTATTCTTTCTGAACCAAAAACAACTGTTGAAGCTCTCACCATTCCAGAATGGAAAACAGCAATGGAAGAAGAATTTCAAGCTCTTCTTCGCAATAACACTTGGGAGCTAGTTCCTTCTACTTCAGGAATGAACTCAGTAGGCTACAAATGGGTTTTTAAAACCAAGTTAAAACCTGATGGCTCACTTCAGAAGTACTAGGCCCGATTGGTAGCCAAGGGGTTTCAACAAACCCCAAGTCTTGACTACTTTGATACATTTTCTCCAGTAGTTAAACCAGCCAAAATCAGAATCATTCTATCACTAGTTGTTCACAATCAATGGGAAATTCAACAGCTAGACATTAACAATGTTTTCTTGAATAGTGAACTAACAGAATTTGTTTTCATGATGCACCCTGAAGGCTTTGTTGACTTGCAGTTCCCTCATCATGTTTGCAAGCTCAACAAAGCTTTGTATGGACTTAAGCAAGCCCCCAGAGCATGGTTTGACAAGTTGAAGAATTCTCTGACTGATTGGGGTTTCATCAGCTCTATATCAGATACAAGTCTGTTTTACTTCAAACAAGGCAATCAAATTATCTACTTGCTGGTATATGTGGATGATATACTCATCATAGGTACTGATCCCTCCTTGATTGCTCAGATTATGGAAGATCTCAACAAGAAGTTTGCTTTGAAAGCTTTAGGTGCATTGAATTATTTCCTTGGGTTTGAGGTTGATAGAAACAGTTCAAGGTTATTACTCACTCAGTCCAAGTATGCTCAAGATCTACTTCTAAAGGCTGGAATGGCAGATTGCAAACCTTGCAATACTCCCATGGCAACAGAGACTAAATTAGGCAAAGAAGATAGTGATCCTTTTGATCAGCCATCAGTTTATAGAAGCATTATAGGGGGTTTACAATACTTAACTCTTTCACGGCCTAGCTTAGCTTTTGCCGTAAACAGACTAAGTCAATTCTTACAATATCCCACAGTTGCTCACTGGACAGCTTGTAAACGAGTTCTCAGGTACATTAAAGGTACTATTCAGCATGGTTTAATCTTTACAAGAAACCAAAATTTTATCTTAGAAAGAAACCAGAATTTTATCTTAGAATGGTTTACAAATGCTGATTGGGCAAATGATATGACTGACAGACGATCAACTACTGGCTACAGCATCTATCTTGGAGGAAATTTGGTTCAGTGGTCCTCTCGCAAGTAGAAGGTTGTTGCCTTGTCTTCAACAGAGGTAGAGTATAGAGCCTTAAGTCAGGCAGCCACAGAATTGGTGTGGATTCAGAATCTCTTCAAAGAACTTGGAATTTTTATAAATAAAACTCCTGTACTATGGTGTGACAACATGAGTGCAGGAGCTCTCTCTTCCAATCCCGTCTTTCACGCTAGGACGAAGCATATTGAAATAGATGTTCATTATGTGCGGGAGTTGGTTGCTGAAAAGAAATTGTGTGTTCAGTATGTAGCTTCAGAGTATCAAATTGCTGATGCTCTTACAAAAGCTTTACCTGGACAAAGGTTCAATATTCTTAGAGAGAAGTTAAATGTAACTGATTCTCTAGAAAGGACAAGTTAATTTTTGTGGAAGTTAAAAGCATGTTGTATAGTGGTCTGTTTGATTTACTTTCGGTTTTGATTACAGTAGAAAGAAGTCTGTTTTGAGGGCAGATATTGAGCAGATAATGAGATGAAGAGAAGTCTGTTTTGAGCAGATAATGAGATGAAAAGAAGTCTGTTTTGAGGGCAGATATTGAGCAGAGAATGAGATGAAGAGAAGTCTGTTTTGAGGGCAGATATTGAGCAGAGAATGAGATGAAGAGAACTCTGTTTTGAGGGAAGATATTGAGCAGGGAATTTGATGAAGAGAACTATGTTTGTAATACGCAGCGTTTTAGACAAAGTCTTAAAACACTGCGTTTTATTTTACTCTGTTTTACAATGCTTCTATAAAAGCAAATCTGTAGCTTAGTTTGTTTCTTAATGAAGTGAAAACAGAAGAAAGATTTAGTTACCCAGTCACGTGTTCTTTCTTCTTTCTTCTTGATTCTTCTTTAACATTTCTTGTTCTTTCTTCTTTCTTCTTGATTCTTCTTTAACTTTTCTTCAAATACACAAATCCTTTCATGTTTTAAATGTTTATTTAAAAATTAAAGTAAATATATTTATGAATTTTTTAATTGAAAAAAATTTACTAGTTTTAAAATAAAAATATTCTATAAAAATCATATAATGTTTTGTNTTACACAACAATATATTTTAGACTTGTTTTACAACCAAGTACATGACAGTTTTTATATTGGAGATTTTTTTTTTTTTTTTTTTAATCAGGAATAGATAATATTTTTAATTTTTTTCATCATTTTATTTAATTTTCAAGATTTTTTACTTAATATGAAATCTATTTCTATTTACATCTAATTTTTTATTGTGACATGGAATGTATTTTTTTTTTTTTTTAAATGTTTACTTAAAAATTAAAGTAAATATATTTATGAATTTTTTAATTGAAAAAAATTTACTAGTTTTAAAATAAAAATATTCTATAAAAATCATATAATGTTTTGTATAGTATTATATAAAGTAATATAATACTATATTATACAATGCAAATGTAAATAAGTAATACATTACAAGATCAAAGTGTTAAACATGTCTTAAGGTCCTTATTCTTCCATCACTTTAGTGTATATATATAAGAATATTTGTTTACATGGTTCATCCAATTAATAAATCTCTCAATTATGATATTACAAGCTCTTTCTCTGAAGGGAGGCTTTCCTAACTTCATCTCTCTCTCTCTCTCTCTCTCTCTCTCTCTCTCTCTCTCTAATGTTTACACTAAACCTAAAACTTGTATATAACGCTCCCATTTTTATTTTCACGTAAGAAGTGAAAAAGAAAGCCCCTTGTGAAATGTTTAAAGACTATGAAGGTTGCGTCTTACCAAATAAGGGGCTTATTTTAATAGGATTCTGAAGAATAGGTTTAGAACAACATTAATACAAGTCAAAGGGATCACCTCAAAGTGTCATGCTATTATTGAAGTTAATGACATCAATAATAGTTCGGATGACGACGTCAGTCATATGATTTGAAAAGACGGGGTGGGTCCTAATTGTAAAATTTTAATCTTATCAAAGTTGTTTGAAAATAAAAAGATGAAGAAATGAGGTTACACTTAATAGAATCTTAGAAGATTAGGACCATTGTGTTTTTACATCAAGGTACTTTTGGGAGCAAATTTACATTTGTCAGTAAATGCACATCAAATTCAAGTCTGTACGTGGCAGTGGTGGGGCAGACAAACCACTGAATAAAGGAGGAAAGAAGGAAAGACGAGAGAAAAGAGAGAAAGAAAGAAGATAGAAGAGAGCAAAGAGAGAAGACATTAAAGAAGGAAAGAAGCGAGGAAAGAGAGAAAGAAAGAAGATAGACGACAGGAGGAGAGGGAAGAACAGGAGAAAAGGAAAAAGGTGAGTGGAATACTTTATAAATAAAAGTTTATATAGATCAAGTTCAATTTAATTATTTTTCAATTGTATTGAAAAATTCTTGAATATTTCATGATATAATAACTTAGTTAAAGGATATTATATGTGATTGATATTTAATCTCAGCCTGCAGTTCAACATGGACTCGAACTTCTCCAATCAGAGTGGCATCTGTAGAGGTACATATATTCTATGCTTCCTGCTCTCTTGAATTCACATAGAAGAAGGCTTCATCTGAATAATCATAAAAGTTAATTTTGTACTTTAGATCTTTCATTATTAGAATAAATAGAATAACTTTTTACATACTATTAGTCTTTTATCGTTTTAATTAATTTTAATTTCAGGAAGGGATGCTCCACCTAGTCATTACTTGTTCAAAATCAAGTCTTTCTCGTTGCTATCCAAAGCTCCTGTACTTAACTACACCTCTGACATGTTTAAAGCGGGGGGCTACCAGTGGTATTTATTCTTACCATTTCTTCTTATCTCTTACTTACATGATAGCTGCGTAAGTATTTAAAAATGTCTGACTTTTCAAGTTTAAGCGTGAATATCGGTACACTCAAGTTTTGAAATTGCAGGAAATTGTCTCTCTACCCAAATGGAGACAAGTCCAGAGACGGGGAAGATCATATCTCTATTTACTTGGCATTGGCTGAAATGAGTTCTCTCCCTTCAGGGTGGGAAATCAATGTGGTTTTCAATTTTTTTATACTCAATCAGCTTCAGAACAAGTATTTTACGGTCCAAGGTACAAGATATATTACATAATTAAAGCAATGTGAATTTCATTGTGTATGAAATTAATTATGTTTGTGATATATGAAGATTGGAGAGAAGGGCGTTACCATGCAATGAAGACTGAATGGGGCATCACCAAATTCATAGACCTGAAAACGTTTCATAATCCTCTAAATGGATATCTTATTGATGACACTTGTGTGTTTGGTGCGGAGGTTTTTGTTGCCAAAAGTACTTTTAAAGGGGAGTGCTTATCAATGACGAAGCAACCTGCTAGTTGTCACTACTATATTTGGAGACTTTATAATTTTTCGTCATTACTTGATCAACGTTACAATTCTGAACCATTTGGAGACTACAACTGGTATATATAGTCTTTTTTTTTTAAGCGAACTCCCTGATTTCCTGACATGTGAAAACTGTTGTAAAACAAAATTTTGTGATATCCTATAGGCTTTAGCGTGTGAGATTTGGTCAAACTTTTGTCTTTTCTTGATCTTTTTGATCCTTTGATGGATGTTAATTTACTCTGATTAACGTTTTGTAGGAATATTATTCTCTATCCTAAAGGAAATGGAGAAGCCAGGGGCAGCAACATTTCAATTTATCTATCTTACGCTCAGTCAAGTGTTCCTTTAAATACCAAATTGTTCGTGAAACTCATTCTTCGTGTCAAAAATGCAGGTGGAGAGGACTTGTCACATCAAAGTAAGAGTTATATATGCTCACTGAATTTCAAGGGATGAGACTCTCCCTACATGAAAACAAGCCAGTCTCATTACAGGAAAATTGAAGTTGACAGTTATTAGTGCTTTAAGCCTTTAACTAGTTTAATTTTCTATATGTTCTGATTGCCTTCTTGATTTTTAATTACTTCCAGCTGAACTCTTGTTATCTCCCTCTGTTCCTGACTGGGGTTTTCCGACATTGTCGTTGGCTAAGTTGAAGGATACGAAACAGGGCTACTTGATGTGTGACACTCTCATCATTGAAGCAGAAGTTACATTACTTGGTCTCATAAAACAGTCTTAATACTTTTGTTAAACATGTTGCAAGCTTTCAGGAACATTTGCTATATGTATCGCTACGATGACTACTGGTAATTAAACCCATACATTGTTCTCTGATATAATTCTGCATCTCTTTTAATGTTACAGTTTAAGTATCATGGATGCATGCCACTTCCCTTTTTTGCACTGGGCTTGCTGCTTCATATAGGCTTTAAAAATATAAAAAAATCCTAGAATTGTATCGCTTAACCTTGCCTTGTTCCAATCCTTACTTATGGTAAAAGATACAGTTTCCTAGAAAGAGTAGATGCAATCATTCTTATCATAATCTTTCTCGGAAATAATCCCCAACTTCTTATTTGGTATTCATTACTTCCCTGAGATGGACCCTACCAAAAAGAAGAAACCTACCGAAACAAGGAGACTTAAGTCATCTTATCGAAAAGAAAAGAAAGTTCGAAACTCACAAAAGCAGGGCAAAATCCAGCATCAACACCCATACTCTCGCTACAGTTATTGGACTTACGGAGTTTAAGAACTCAACTGAAGAAGCCATCTCAAGAGGTATATATATCTTCCATGCTTGATTTCAAGAAATAATTAATAGTGAACAAGTTTTTTCAGTTTTTATCACGATTAATTATGTAGTAATCCATATCTAATAAATCTCATTTTTATGAATCACTACTAGAAAAATCCTCTTCCTTGATGGGTAATAACTGTCAAGAAATGGTGGTGACCGTTTTTTAATTGTCAAGAATTTCTTAACAAATCAATTAACGGTTATAACTCGTCAAGGATTTAGCCGAATTTTAATCAATCATTGACCGTCTTTAAACTATAAAGAATTTCTTAATAAATCTCTCGACAGTTATAACCCATCAAGGATTTAGCCGAATTTTAACCAATCCTTGACAGTCTTTAAACTGTCAAGAGATTTTAACAAAAAAAACAAAAAAAAAATTAACTTAATAATAATAATAATAATCAAATTTTATTAATAATAATTTTACATCCTTAATAGTCTTAAAACTGTCAAGGATTTTTTTTGTAAATATTTTTTTAAATATTTTTATTTTGTAATTAGTTTATTTTTCTAATTATTACCAATTAAATAATAGAATAATGCAATGAATTCCTCAACCAACAAAAATTATCATAATTCAACAACAAATTTAGACACTCAACAATCTTTCAATTAATTTATTCAACGAAATTGAACAATAGTATATATACATGAATAAAAGACTCATGGCATTAGTGCATCAATAATTAAAATTTTGATACATATTTTTTGCATCTCCCTCTTCATGACTTAAAGGCTGGGCATCAAAGGTATTCAACACAACCTACACACCTCAAATATAGAAAATAAAATTGTTTTCTTGAGCTATAAACATTGTAGTATTGAAAGAAATTGAATTAATTATCTAAAAAGCAACGAAAGAGAGCAAAGGGCAAATACTTTGCCATGAGAGAGCATGGTAGCAATTGAGAGAGCAATGCTAGGCTTCTCTGCTAGCAAAGGGCAAATACTTTGCCATGAGAGAGCATGGTAGCAATTGAGAGAGCAATGCTAGGCTTCTCTGCTACCTGAGAAATGTATATTACAAATTGTGAGAAAGAAACAATGGAGCAAAAAAAAATCTATTCAATACATAATGCCAAAGAACTCAACAAGACACAAGAAGCAGAGAAAAGATAAATCAGTATAGCTAATTATTTAGGATAGCGAAAGAACTTAAAGCAAAGACATAATGTCTGTTGGAGTCTCACACCGACTAGGTACACTCAAGCCTATTGGGTTATAAGAGAGGGTAATCATCTCATTTAACAAGGTCTTATTGGGTGAGGAGTCTGACCCACCTCAAATTCTATCATGGTATCAGAGCCAGGTTCAATTGAGCTGAGCGCTTAACCAGCAAGTGAGGAGTTAGAGCCAGCAACTACCTCCATCAATAGGCATGACCCAACATATGGGCTTGACCGTGAGGGGAAGTGTTGGAGTCCCACACCAACTAGGCACGCTCAAGCCTATTGGGTTATAAGAGGGAGTAATCATCTCATTCAACAAGGCCTTATTGGGTGAGAAGTCAGACCCACCTCAAATTCTATCAATGTCGAACTAAACAAGCAATCAATAAGGCAACCCAAAGTTCGAATGTAAAGACAAAAAGTGCCATCAAACACAGAATCAATGTAACAACAAAATAGACATCTCTTCTTCTAGGGCTCTAGACACAAATAAATTTATTTAACTCTGAAAACATACCCCATGGGAACTCCTTGTTGCGAATGTGCAAATATGGGTATGGCTACAAATCATTTTAATAATTTGAGCTTACAATTGGGCACATTGAACTTAGAATTCAAAATGAATTAGCAAGCATATAAACTGTAGATGCAAAAAATCTATGGTTACAAAAATAGGGTCTAATCCTATGAGGTTGAGGTCGCTAACAATCTGTTGGAGCTGCACACATGAAAAGACAAGCGTAAAGCTTATGGAAAACACCAGGTGGTGTTTGCTGTAGGCACTCCGACGTTCAAGTTAGCAAGGCTGAAAGAGACGGTTTAATGAGAATTAGGGAAAGAAAGATTACCAAGAGTCTTGTGGAGGCCAGGGCCATGGAAAAGGTGTAGAATTCTTGGGAGCTAGAATTTAGGAGCAAGGAGAGGTGATTTTGGGTAGTTGAGATTGATTATTGGAGATTGAATGAATAATGAGAGGGCAAGCCTCTGTTTTTATGGTGAACCCAAGGGGTTAGAATCCTAGTAGGACACTGAGCCCTATTTTGGGAGATAATCCCTATCATGAAAGGAATAAGATTTCTTGTCTTTATAAGATTTAGTTCACTAGTTTGAGTAAGGTTCAGAATCTCAGCAGAAGAGGAAATAGAATATGATTCTGATTTACTATTTATGAATTGTTGTAGGCTAATAGGCCGGGACTCAATTCAGCTTAACTTGTAGGATAGCCCAACTCATAGAGAGGGTAGTTCACAAGGTGACTTTAAGCATAAACCCAACCGGAATTGGGTTAAGGCATTAGGCTGTGACATGTTTATTTAATTATTGGGCCTCGTCAAGCCCATGACGATTTTTTGCCCATACATAAACCACAAGCATTAATCAAATATTTCCATAAATAAGACCTTCCTAATAGACATTAGACCACTATGAAACATATGCAAACAGAGATTCTAAACAGAGACATCTACATGCATTCACATACACGTGACCTTTTTATAAAAAAAAAATATATATATGAATATACATATGATTTTAAAAAGTTCGGTGACAAAAAGTTATAACTCATTAAAGAACAGTTTTTTAGAACAGTCAAGAAAATCTGTCAACAAAGGGGATTTTTCTATTAGTGAATGTTTTGTTTGATTATGATATGTAAGAAAAGATGGATATTATCAAACCAGTAGTTAATTAATTTCTTTTGATTTACGATTATGAAGATCGAATATAGATGAAAATATCTGGATGTTTGGCAATTATTAGATACATTAAAGTTTTATTACATAATTCTAGCTCATCCTTTTAGTTTTATGTGATTTGCATTTGAAGATAGTAAGATGAAGACTAAGAGTATTATTATGCAGATACCATATTAAGGCAATTCCATGCAATGAAGATAGATTGGGTATCTCCAAATTCTTGGACCTGGAAACATTTCGGAATCCTTCAAATCAAATGCATACCTTATCAATGGCACTTGCATCTTTGGCGCAGACGTTTTCATTGTCAAAAATACTTCTAATGTGGAGTATAGTAATCTAAGATGAAGACTGCCACCGATTGTCATATGCGAAAAGTTGATAATTTTCCATCCTGGTTGACGAAAGCTACAGATTAAAAACATTTGAAGGCTACAAATGGTGAGTTTGGCTCTCGCATGTTTGATTCTCGTTGTTTAAAAGTTGCTAATGATGATTAATGTTTTGCAGGAATGTTCGACTCTTTCTTAAAGGAGATGGAGAAGCTAAGGGCAACAACATTTCTATATATCTATCTTACTCCTCGAGATAGTAAGATGTTTTTTCTTTCACTCTTCGTGTGAAAGATCAAAAAGAAGGAAATGACATTAAATGCGCCGGTGAGAGTAATAAACTAATTAAAACAATTTCAATTTGAACAGTGAAATGATTAGTTATTTATAGATTACGCCATAATTTATTGACATTTTCTCTCTTCTATTTCCAAGGTTACTTCGTTGATGACAGTTGCATTGTTGAAGCAGAAATTACAATGAATGGTTTGGTTATTTCAAATGAAAGATAATTCTGCTAAAGTAATGCAATGTCTTTTGAGGAACAATTTGTATAGATTATTGTTGATGCGTGATTTTGACACCAACTAAACGCATGTGTGAAATGCTAAACTGACTCAGAAAACACACGTGAATGGAGGTATGAGAATGGATAAGAGATGGGAAACAATGTTTAAAGTGGTTTGGATGCTTAAACAAGCGACTCCTACGTCCACTGATATCGTATTAATATACTAAGGTCGGGTCGTGTTCAACGAGCTGATTTACAAGTGATTACAAACAGAAAATATGTATGCTATTCCAAAGAGAAATTAGCTAATCCCACAAACGGGAGAGGAGCTCTCTATTTATAGTGGGATGAATTGAGGTAATGATTACTAAATCAGGGAGTGGGTCAGATTGCCGTCCAAATCCTTCATTGCACCCCATTATTCACCTGCTCGAGTGATTTACTCGATTCTTGCAGGGATTGGACACATGGATCACCTTCAGCCTTTCACCAGCCTGACGCACATCTACTGCACTAGCAAGAGCACGCCTCTTGCGTTAGTGTGCGACGTGGCTATATCTGAATGGTTGCTGGACTTATCTAAGCTCTGACCACTTACACTAACAAGGCTCTACGTCAGCCCTACTTTTCCAAGCATAATAGAAGTCCCCTAGTTTTTAAGGCTTGAGAATCGAACCTTGGAAACTACACATTATGCCTTGATTTGATGCATTTGAACATTAGTTGACCCGACCTGGATGCAAAGAGGTCGAAGGAACATTTTCATACAGGCGACCTGAAATGGCCTTTACTTTAAGGGTCAGCAACCTATGTTAGACCATATCCAG